ATGATTTCAACAAAACTTCTTTCCTTATATCATTGATAAATGAAATCAATAGTAGACATCTCAGGTATAGGTCTCCATAGTGGAGCTTCTGGCTTGGTAGCAGATTCAATAAAAATCTTAACTACATTAGGCCCTAAAGGTATCCATGTACTAATTCATCAGCATCATAAGAAACAATACGGCCCTCAACAACATTATCATCAGAAGAAGTTCAGTCAACCAAATTACACTTAGGAAGTGTTCTGGTATTTACACTCCTATGTATAGAGTTTTCACCAACATCACCCTCTTGTCTCTGCAATTTCAGAAACATATCAACATATAGTATAACTTAGTAAATATTATATCAGTAAACAATGTGTATATAGTATACTAACCTGATCATAAAAATTTTCAATAATTTGCTCTAAATCCTGAATTCTATTCTTCAATTGAACCTGATCTGGTTCCATTGCAGCCATAGAGTTTCTGTTGACCTGGAAACAAGAAATTTTGGTCAATCTCATGCCTCTGCTCATTGCCCGCAGTCCCAAAATTTGACTAAGTATATCTTCTTTTAGATTTGTTGTAACTGAATCCTGAGTACCTTCAATTTCTAGCTCGGCTCTTTCCTCTGCAAACAAATACCAAAGTAATGTACATCACCCATTAATGATGACCAATATATAAAGTAATTTAAGAAGAATAAACATAACATACAATCTTTTCGGCCGCACCGATATTTACAGGAGTACCATCCTTCTTGGTCCGTGACTCGATCCACACTTTTGCTCTTGTCACCTGGGATGGGCCTGAGCTTTTTTGGATTAACTCTTCTCTCAATCTGACCATTTTACAGCCACATCAATGAGGAATCTGCATCTTCCTTTTCGTCTTCATAAAATCACTTATTACCTTAAATGCATTACTAGTCTTCTCTTTGACAAACTTACGCCATTCTGGTTCAGTTATATTAGGTGGTCGCAGACTCATCCTATCTTTCATGTTATTAGCTCCTCTGACCGCTGAAACAAGGCGTGATTTGGAGGATCTCCATATATCTCTCATCTGAACAAATGCAGCAGTTTTTTTCCATGGTTGGTCAAGATCAAACCTTGCCTGCATTCAAATGAATAATTAAAAATCAGAAATTACACAAAGCAATTCTAATTAAAAGAAGCAACATGTAAAAGTAAATTACAGAATACCTCAATAGATTTCCACAAAACAGTTTTGATATCTTCACTTACTTTCCTCCAATCCCAGATTGTGAAAGGAACATGTTCCCGTACTATTGTACCTAAGTATGATGTAAAAAGTATTGACCCTAGACCACAAGGTTCTCCCATGATAGTATAATCAACGTGAACCTTTTCATTTGGATCCTTGGCGATGTTTTTCATCTTCGTTGGTCCTCGCTTCCTTTTACGCTTTGGTTCAGCAACATTTTCAGCAACATTCGGAGTGTGATCTACATTGTCAGCAGAAGCATCATCAACAACTGGTTCAACTACATTGTCTTTATCATCATTCTCTTTATCTTCTAACTCAGCATCCACTTCATTAAGTTCATCTAATGGCTGTTTTTGAGAAGTGTCATCATCTTGTATATCAGCACCCTCTTGTAAATCAGCATCCACTTCATTATCCAAATTTTGAGTTTCACACTACTTCTCTACTAATTCCTGAGTTTTCAACTGCTTCTCATCTAGCTCATCAATCTTCTTCTTTTTTTTAGTACGCTTTTTTTTGATTATAGACCATCTTAGTTCACCTGAAACAAAAGAAATCACTTGTTTATCAAAACAGATACTTGTTTAGAAAATAATCTCATTCACAGAAAACACACATTCTAACCAATCATACATACAAAAAACAATCACATATAGTATAATTTCACACATAAATCCCTTCAAAGTCAGCTCGGGCATTCCTAGCTTCATCAACCAAGTCATCTTCATCCATGTCTACTAATACAGGCAATGGCCTAACGTCCGCAGTTCCATATTCAGCATCTTCTGCATTGTATCTTCTCTTAGAACCTCTCATAGCTACATACCAACTCGATGAATCATCTACCCTTGAATAAAAAACTTGATGTGCTTGAGATGCTAGTATGTATGGCTCTCTTGCAAATGAAGGTTGACTTTGGTTAAGGTTGATAAGTGTGAATCCATCTTCTTCCTTTACTCCATTACCTATATTTGCCCATTGGCACCTGAATATAGGAATGTAGAAGACATTGTAATCAAGCAGTATAATATCCACCACTCTGCCATAGTAAGACACAACATCAACCATTGGACAATTGTCTTTTGCACTAGCTATACACATTGTTGTGGCCTCATGTAACACACCACAGTTTTGAGTTTGCCTATCAACCGAAACTGTATGAAACCGATTGCCATTGCCTATGTAACCCGTGTAAGACCTTGCGCATAGACGAGGACCATATGCTAACCACTTAAGTGTATCTTCATGATCAGAAGTCATAGGTATCTGTTTTAAAAATTGTCAACAGTCATTTACTATATTGTAAAAGAATAGATGATAAACAAAAAAACCATAAAAATAGTCAACATACCTGTTCTTTTAACCAGGAGACAAATTTATGAGAATGTGTACGCCATAAAAATGCCGAACACGTCTACATCTTTCACTAGAATCTTGTAGATGTTGTAGGTGCATGCTAAAATTGAAAAAACAAAACCATTGATTAATTGTAAATACAACAAGATTATAAAAGAGACTGTTAGTAGAAAAACTTACTCCACATAAGGATCAAGCAGTGCCATATTATGAATGATAGCAAGATGTGCTATGTTCTTCTCATTCTTAGTAAGAGTACATGAAGTAGGTGCTGGGACGACCCTCCAAGATAGAGCAGTTCTCATAATCAGCATTTCTTTCAATTTTTTCATCAACATTTGTTGTCTTTTTCAAGAAATCACTGCAGAACCGCACGCACTCCTCAGCAAGATATGCTTCAGCAATACAACCCTCTGGTCTTGCTGTGTTTCTTACAAAGTCCTTCAGAACTTTCATGTACCTGCATATAAAAACCTGTAATTGATAAACATAAAAGTATATTGTAAATGATACAACTTTATAAGTTATTAGATTGTACCTCTCAAATGGGTACATCCAACGAAAATGAACTGGTCCACATAACCGAGCTTCCCTGCCTAAGTGGACTATCAAATGCACCATTATATCAAAGAAACTCGGAGGAAAGAACCTCTCAAACATGCAGATAGTTTCCACAATTTCAAGCTCCATTACAGAAATTGCCTCTCTGTCAATAACTCGCTGACATAGTTTGTTGAAGAAAGCGCATAAGCGTCCAATAGCTATCCTAACACCTTTAGGTAATAAACCTGTAATAAATAACATTGAATATTAAAAACTTAACAGCTAATTATGCAAGAGTTCTATCTAAAATATTTCATCCTACCTCTGATTGCAACCGGAAGATGTTGTTGCATCAACACATGATAATCATGTGATTTAAGACCTTTAACCGTACAATCTTCTATCTTAACACATCTGGAAATATTTGAACAGTAGCCATCTGGTCCTCTGAAGTCAGATAATCGCTTACAGAATACTTTCTTCTTTGTTTTGGACAGAGACCAAGGACCTGGAGGAAGGTAGGTTTTTTTTCACGTGCTTGGGGATGTAAATCCTTCCTAATACCAAGCAGTTGCATATCTTTCCGAGCTTTAACACCATCCTTTGATTTCACACAATGCAGCATTGTAGAGACAAGGCTAGCGCCAACATTTCTCTCCACGTGCATCACGTCTAAGTTATGCCTAACAGGCATTTCCTAGACAACATAATAACAGATAATAAAAAGAATGTTTAATACATTTATTTTTAAAAATATAGCAAATCTGAATATATAGTATAATAACAAAACTAACATATAAATCATACCTTCCAATAATCTAACTTGAATAAGATTGAGCGCTTCTTCCATCTGGATAGCTCCTCTTTGTGGATGTAGGATTCACACTCGATTATCTTTAAGTATTTTTGTGGAGAAAAACTCTTGTAAAATGAGGAAATGAATATGAGAATTTGAAAAGGAAACCAACCAAGAAAAGAAATGAGGAAAAATTGATAAGGACGAAGTACAAAATTCCTTGCAAAAGATAGTAAAGAGAGAAAAATGTATTGTATTGCTCAGAAGTAATGAGTAATCCGATCCCCCCCCCCCAAACACATGCGTTTGAGGTTGTTTTTATAGAGAAAACATGATCAATGCGGTCATTTACTGCTCATAATTGCATTGATCCGCATTAATCATGTAAGTTACATTTTGACCGAAACGGCTTGAATTTGAACTATCTTGGGCATCGCGCGGATCTTCCGAACTCTTTCTTGTTGACTCCAAACTCCCGCGTCTTGACACTGCCGCGAACCTCGAACAATATTCTCCTCGCTTCGGCCTTTCTCTATGCGAACTGTATGTTGAATAAGAGCGAACTCCGTACTGGTAAAGATCGAACTCTTTTAGTAAACCGAATCGAACTCCCGACTGGTTAAGCTTGATTCCCATAATAAAATATCTTTAACTCCAAGAGGATTATTATGTAATAATGACGTGGACAGATCCACGTGGATCCTACCGAAAATGTGTGGGATCCGACCCCAACATTTAGCCCCCCAAGTCTTGCGAGCTGAGTGCTCGGCTTGGAAGACTTAAGTAAACAGTAATTAATGACTCGAGATCTTTAACATTCCGAAATTATTCCATGTTTTACGCTATTACGCCGATCTCGGATAATCAAATGATTTGATATCCCTGACAACCGTCATCATTAATTTTCTAATTTTATATTAATACTGCGGGGAAAACCGTCCCACTTCCTAATATTCTCGAGGCGGTCTTTCATCATACTTTAAGGTTCTAAGAGGTAATATTACTTTTCCATCTTATCTTCTTTACCTAGAGATCTCTCATTCTTATTGCAGAAGTCATTGTTTTCCTTTTGGTAAGAAATCCCCTTTGTAAAATGTCGAACCTTTCTTTCGAATTTCACGAATATGAGGCTGACGATCTCGAAGCTCTCATGGGTGAAGGAACCGAACCTCACATCCAAACCGGAGATGGGTTTGATCTTCACCCCCAGAGTGAATCGACCGTCAATTCTCTTGACGATCTTCGCAGATTATGCCTCATCCCCCTTGAGGTGGAGATGGTAGTCCCGGAACCTTTCGAGTCTCCGGAGTCTGGGCGAGAAGGTTACTGCTGCGCCTATGAAATTTATTTCAAAGGGTGCGGCTTATTCTTTCCCCTTCCTGAGATACTTCTCGTTTACCTCAACCACCTGGGAATTGCTTTCTCTCAGATGTCGCCCAACATGCTCCGGTATCTTTTTGTGTACCTTCACTGTTGCGGCGGAGGCGGGCTACTCACTGGGACTTTGCGAACTCTTGGAGCTTTTCCAAGCTCGCGAATCCAGAACTTCCGGGTATTATGCCCTTTATCCGATCGCGGATCGGAATCTTATTGACGGTCTGCCTTTAAAGGACACCGCCTGGAAGAAGTTTTGGTTCTTCTTCCGCATAAATAATTTTTCTATTCAGAGTTCTTCCGAACTCCTTCGAATTCACTGTTCGTCGAATTTGGGTAGAAATTAGGACTTAACTGAATAAATTTCCTATGTTATTTCAAACTGCATCTCAACATTTACTTGTTTCCTCGCAGGTCCCCAGATTCGGCCAGTTCCATCCGTCGATTTTCTCAATTTCTACAAGGCCGTCTTAGAGAGGCCAGTTAATTGGAACTCTTTTACTTTGGAAAGAATTCACGGCGCCGGATTTTCTGTCAGAATGACCCTTACTCACCCCGTCAACCCTCCTCCCGCTGAGATTGATATCTCGAGTCTGAATGCCCGAGACAGGAGAAAGATCAAAGAGGCAAACAAAAAGGTTAAAGATAAGATTTTCCTAGTTGGGAAAAATAAGAAAAATGCAACTTCCACCGGGGACGACAAAGTCTACCGGAAAACTCTCCTAGTTGACGATGGATCTCTTGAAGGTTCAAAGTCGATGGCGGTTGCAGTGAACAACGCTCCCTCCCCCATCCCAGCAGCAGACAACGTGGTCGCTGCCACCGCTGAGGAAGAAGGCCTTATAGGTGACTCTTCTCTCATGAAGAAGAGGAAGCCCGAGGAACTTGAACCCCCACTCCAGGGACGTCCCAAGAACACAAGGAGGGGCAGAGTCGCTCCTTTGAATCTGTCAGTTCCTGAATCTGCTGATGCTCAGGATGTAAATCCCGATTCAGGAATTGTTTTAAAGGAACCGCTGGGTTCAGGAATGTTACCTCCTAGGCGTCCCCGAGGCAATACCTCTAGGGCCCGATCGTCTCCGAACCAAGGGCTTGTTCCCAGAGCTTCATCCCAATCAGGTAACCCTTAATTAATCATTTTGTTTCTTGAGATTAATCGAATTTCTAAGGAGCTCGGTCCTCACTTAAATATCTTTATCCTAGATAAAGAGAAGATTGGGAATACGTTTAGATGTTTCCACACCCGCTTTGGGAAGAAACTTACGTCCTTTGAGTGGTGGAGGCCTGACATCAAGAAGATGTATATCAGTCATTCATTCCACTCCTCACTGGTTTGACTATTCGCATCCTTAAACACCCGATTTCGAAAATTTGTTTTTTTTTTTTTTTTTTTTAAAACACATCTTCTGTTTTTAGGCAACTCTGGACGTGAATGGCATCATCAGTCAATACGAAGAGGAGCTTGCCAAGGTTTCCAAGAAAGCTGCTACTGCTGAAAAAGAGATTGAGAGGCTGCAATCTTCTAATCGGCCTGTGCAGGAGTCTGCTGGCCTTGACTCGGCTCGTCAGGAAAAAATCGAGCAACTCGAGAAATCTGGCGAGGAGACAAGGAAAATTCTAACTGAAACAGAGCAGAGGCTAGAGACTGCCCTTGCTGATCATAACTCCGCGAAGGGCGAGATTGAGCTTCTGAGATCGGAGCTTGACAGGGTCAAAACAGCTGCTGAGGAGCTCGAGCGCAAAAATGAGTCTCTTTCCGAACTTAAAGACCGAGATGTTCGCAAAATATCTCATGATGCTTGGAAAAAGGTTAAAGGAGCCGGGCAAAAGTTTCTTCTTGTTGTGCATGAATTTATTACTGCAGATAAAGCTTGGAACAAAATTAACTCAGAGCGTGATGAGATGAAGAGCAATCTCGATCTGATCAAGGAGATAGAGGACGGAAAGGTCAACTTGGCTGAGGAAAAGGAAACAGTTGGCGCTGAGCTCGCGGAGACTGAAGCTAAGCTAGCTACTGCTCCTCAGCCATACTGGAATTTGCAGCAGTTTGTTTCTGAGTTCGCTGATTCCCCTCCATTGACTGAGCCAAATATTGGTTTGCCTCTGGACGAGATGATGTTAACAGGTTCTCCTCGCGCTCATTTTAATGAGTTCGGAACCAATGTTGACAGAATCTCCTCGGGACGAGGTTAGGAGTTCTCTGGTCATGATTCTGCCATCTCCTCGATTATGGGAGACGGCCCTGAATCGAAGAGCGAACCTCCTCAAGATGCTGGCTCGCTTAATCCTGAAGTGGTTCCCACAACTCAGAACGCTGACGTCGGGAGTGCTCTTGTCTCAAATCAAGCAGGAGATGAAGGCGGTTCGCCTATGATTGAATGATGGTGATTGCATTCACCTTTTATGGGGATTGTCCCTTTAATTTTAAGACATGAAATTCGCTTTGCTGGCCATGGGGCCGTTTATTTCTTTCCAGAATTTTCTGCTTAAGGGGGCTTTTATTATCGTCTTGAATAATTTGCCCAAGAGGGTTCTTAATTAAAATTTCTTTAGAAAGAAATATTTAATCTTAGTGGAAACCATCGATTTTACCTGGAGGGTTTGCAAAGTCCTCCTAATCGAAGTGGTTTAGGATTATAGGAGAGATAGGCTGATCAGACCTACTTGCCTTTTTTAAAGAAAAAAACATTGGAATTTTTTCTCGGTCTCTCGGTTGCGAGGTTAGAGCTCGGCTTACAAGAACACTTTGCGATACTTCAAATGTGTTCGATTAGGGAAATCTCTAGTGAGAACTGTTTGCTTTCCCTAAGAGATAAAAAGGTGTGATACCATTTATTGATTGTCTTCGAATTTCGAGTTCGAAATTAAGTTCGCCTACTTGGTGTTAAGTGATACTTGAATAACCTATATTTCGTAGGTCTTGTTTGTGCATGTACACGAAAATCGAATGGTCATAACAGTCAAATCAATAGACTGACGTTTAACTTCCATTTTCAATAAATACTCAAGTGAACAACCTTACATATTTTTCTTATATAAGGAGAGTTAGATTTTGGAAATTTTCCGATAGATATATATTTTTTTATAAAGAACTTTGCAGTTCTTCTTTTTTAGACCTAAGATGACATCTCCCCAAGGCGAACCTTCTGGTCCAAGTTCACCACGACTCCCTTCAAGCGAATCTCTTTTCCCGACGGGGGATGGATTCACTCCACAAGGGGTGGCTATTCCTTGTTTTCTTCCTTCCATGCCCAGGGAGGAACAGGTCGAGTGCCATGAATTCATGGAGGAGGTTTGAACCTAGTACCAATAGTTTCAAGGTTTTACTTAATAGATTCGTAATGTATCTGTTTTTTTTTACAGATCACGGAAAGATACGTTTTCCTCTGCTCCGGAAGGCAACGCCTCGGAATGAAACGCCGTATCCTCGAGGATCGGATTGCTAGAACAGAAAGGAAGATCCGACGTTTGGAGTCGGACGTTCACAACTGGGAGAGGAGGGGATTTGATTCTATCGCCCGCATTCCGGGCTGTCTTCGAGAACACATCAGGTTCCTGAAGAAGCATTGGGATATCTACCAAAGGAACCTCGAACTTGATGAACGCGAAGACGGTTCGCCATCAGATGAAGTTCCTTCTGCGAACCCCCCTCCTTCTTAGTTAGTTTTTTTTTATTATTATGTAAAATACTATTGGGCTAGAGGCCCAGCAATATTAATTACATTCCCCTTTTGCTTTAAATTTGCTGATTCACTCAAATCATATTTAATGCGTTTATCTAGGGAATATAATTAGTAATTAACTCGATTACATTTTCCATAAAAGTAGTAATTTCAGATTTGGGAAATCGTTAATTTACCCTCTTAAATGTGGTCAAGTATATTTTGAATATAAAGCAGATGTAGATCGTTATTGAATTTAATCAACAATAATTCTACAAAAATGTTTGAGGAAGGTAATTTCTCAGAGAAACCCTCTGAATCGTTTAAAGTGATAAGTGATGATCTTCCGGAAACGTCAGACATCAATCTTGTAAAAACGGAAGCTAACGACGAACTAGAAGAGTCACGCCCATTAGGTTGGGGAACCAGCATTCAGGTTCAAAACGTGTTAATTGATAGATTATCAGCTCAAGATCGTGCCAAGGCCGAGGAGTTTATTACCAAGGTATTGTTAAACCTGGTGATTTAACTCTTTTTATTATTGCTAAACGAAGCATTTCATTTTCTTCAGCTTATCATTCGGCACGACGAGCTCGAAAATGAGAAACAAGAGATTAGGCATAGGATCATGGAACTAGAGAAGCGTCGCCTCGATATTGCTCGCGAGCTTCATCGCCTCGAAGCCCATCCTTCCTACTGGATCGAACTAGGACTTCAGGAGTACGGAAACATGCCAGGTCAAGGAGCAAAGTTGTTCTGTAACTCAAGACCCTTCTAGATCTGGTTCTAGCTTATTTATTTATACATCGTTCGCAATGTATTTTTATATTCATGTTCGAATATTGAATTTATAAAAACAAGACTCCATGATAGGAATAATATTTTTATTTTTATGTTATAGCTGGACTCGTGTTTAGCGAGCTGCCTATGTACCCAAAATAGGATCAAGCCAAATCGTAGTTCGATTGTGTTTGCTTTAGTAATAGAACTTTTTCAAGTTGATGACGTTCCAATGCCTTTGAACGGGATTTCTGTCAAGGTCTTGTAAATGGTAAACACCATTTCGGACTTTTTCTGTGATTTGATAAGGACCTTCCCAGTTAATACCGAGTTTTCCATCTCCTTCTTCTTTTGTGTTATCGAACACTCGTCTTAAAAAAAAGTCTCCTACATTTAAAGGTCTGTTTTTCAACTTTGAGTTATAGTAACGAGCGGTCGATTGTTGATAGTTTTGAAGTCGAATAAGGGATTGATCTCTCGCCTTTCATCGATTGTATCAAGAACATCTTCTAATAATTTAGAATTTAGTTCTTCGTTAAGAGGAGCTTCGCTCCGGCGTAAACCAGTAACATTCAGTTCGGCTGGGACTACAGCTTCCATCCCATATACTAATGAAAATGGAAATTCTCCCGTTGCTCGTCTCGGGGTTGTTCGATATGCCCACAACACAGGTTGCAGATCGTCATACCAACCACCTTTTCGAGCAGTCAAACGCTTTTTAAGATTGCTGAGAATGGTTTTATTGGAAGCTTCCGCTTGCCCATTTCCTTGAGGATACCTCGGCGTTGAATAGCTAAGTTTTATTCCCCAAGCGGAACAAAAATCTTCAAATTCATTTGAAATGAATTGAGGACCGTTGTCCGTTACTATTTCGTAAGGAATTCCATGGCGACAAATAATGTGTTTCCACAAGAATGTTTTTACCACAAAATCTTGTATATTTACGTAGGCTTCTGCTTCGATCCATTTGGAAAAATAGTCCGTTAGAACTAATAGGTATTGGACGCCTCGCGTTGAGCGATGCATCGGACCAACTATATCCATTGACCACCTCATGAAAGGCTATGGAGCGGATATAGATGACAGAATTTCAGATGGCTGGTGAATAAGAGGAGCATGCATCTGACACTTTTTACACCTTTTGGCGTAATCGATGCAGTCAGAAATCATAGTTGGCCAGAAATATCCTAACCGTTTGATTTTGAAAGCCATTGTTCGTCCCGAAGAATGACTACCACAAAGCCCTTCGTGGACCTCGCTTGTCACTATTTCAACTTCGGGTCCGAAAATACATAAAAGGTAAGGATCACTGACGCCTCGCTTGTACAATGACTCTTTAATTATACAATACTTAGCGCTGATGATTTTTAATTTGCGAGCTTGCCATTTGTTCGATGGTAGTTCTCCATTTGAGTACAAACTTCCTTGGTTCGGGTTCGAAAGGAATATCAGGATCTTCGATTGTTCCCCGAACCTCTTCATCACCTGGAGGTGTCTGTTCAGTTCGAGACGGTTCTTCAGCGGGAACCTCTTGATCCTTTAATTTTCTTCTTGGCTTTCTTTTAGGAAGTTCCAATGGTGAAGTAAGTTCATCATTTTGAGATTTTACTCGTGATCTGGTGACCACAAATGAATTATTTTCATTTCCGGAACTTGATTTTGGAATTTCGATATGCTCGGCCTTCAAAATGTTATCGTTTTCTGTTTCTTCAACCGAAATACTTCGCAAAGAAATACATTCAACTGGGATAACTCGTTTGAGCTTGGGATCTGAGGTAGAAGCTAGGGCAGCTAAGGCGTCTACCGTAGTGTTTTCTCCTCGAGGTATTCGAACTAACTCGAATTCTTTGAATTTTCCGGCTAATTTTTTGACAGTCAAAAGATAGGCTTTCATTCGAGGAGCCTTAGCTTCGTAATCTCCAGCGAACTGGTTTACAACTAGTTGAGAATCACAATAAGCTATTATTTTTTCTGCTCCAATTGCAAGAGCAAGCCGAAGTCCTGCTAAGAGAGCTTCGTATTCTGCCTCATTGTTCGAAGCCGGAAACATTAATCAAAAAGACTGTTCGATTATTTCCTTTGTTGGAGTTTCGAGCCTAATACCGATTCCGGATCCTTGTTTAGAAGAAGAGCCATTTACATGTAATTTCCATGTAAAGTTTGTTTCAATAAGGATTCCATCATCTAGTGGTAGTTCGTTAAGAAAATCAGCCAGAACTTGTGCTTTTGCGCTAGTTCGACTTTTGTACTCTATATCGTACTCACTGAGCTCGATTGCCCATTTCGCCAATCTACCGGACTGACTTGGTCCGTGAAGAATTGAGCGAAGCGGATGAGAAGTTAAAACTTCTATCGGATGAGATTGGAAATAAGGTCTGAGTTTTCTAGCAGATATGACTACCGCTAAAGCTAATTTTTCCATCATGGTATATCTCGTTTCCGGACTGGTAAGAGATTTACTTATGTAGAAAATTGGCTTCTGATCACCTCGATCCTCTCGAACTAAAACCCCACTTACAGAATGATTAGAAACCGAGATGTAAAGATAAAGTTTCTCATCTGACTCAGGTTTTGAGAGAACCGGCGGTGTTGTCAGATAAGTTTTGAGTTGATCGAAAGCTGCTTCGCATTGATCATCCCACCGAAACTTTTTGTTCCTTTTATAATCTGGTGAAAGGGGAGACATTTATCAGTAGATTTCAAAATGAAACGATTGAACGCAGCAATTCTGCCCGTCAACCGCTGGACCTC